GCTATGAGTTGCAAGTGACTCGATGGCACATAACAACAACAAACAACATAGATAGTAATTTACTTTATCTTTTCAACATTTGCTTCACCTTCCAAAGGAGAGCATCTAACTGTTGACAGTTTCAATCTCCTCTCCATCCATCATGACACTGCTCATCCATCCAGTGGTAAGAATCTTGGCATGTTGCTAGGAGAGGTTATTTCTTGGAGAGGGACATCATGATTGGGAAGGTGGATGGACAGTAAAGCTGGAGAAGACCCTCAAGCAGGTGGGTTGACACAGTGACTGCAGCAATGGGCTTTAGTGTGTCAGAGACTGCTAGGATAGGGTAAGGTTCAGATCTGTTGTTCTTAGGGTCACTATGTGTTGTACTTGACTCAAGGAGACCTAACAAGACAGATTAAGTAGTACTAGTTATAGGCAGTCTATTAGCAAGCTTTTGTATCTTTTGGCAAGTTTTTGTGATAATTATCCTTACAAGGGACAACATACATTATAAGAAGAAAAAGACTGTGTTTAAGTTGCTAATTTTGTGAATGACTTTAGAGTCCGTGATTTCAGAAGACTGAACTGTTATAACCAGAGGTAGTGAATGTATAATAAAGACAACAATGTGCTTACGCTAACATGAGTTCATGATACCTGGGTTAGTTCCTCAATTAGACTCTATTGAACATGAAGTTTTCTTTCAAAGTTGTACAGATATGCCCTTTCATTGTACAATGACTGTATGAACAAAGTTTAGCAAAGGTGATTTGCAGGAAGGTGGTGGATATATGCATGAAAATTTAATACCGTGTCTCTCCTGAATATATGAACTTTCATCACTTTATCTAGACTAATCCATACAAACCTAAACTACTGCAGTGAAAGAGAAACATAGTCCATTCTCCAAAGTACAATTTAACCTTCTTACAAGTAGTAATTTATTTTATCTTGCTTTATCTTTTCAACATTTCCTTCACCTTCCAAAGGTGAGCATCTAACTCTGCTACAATATTATTGACTTGCCCTCCATTCAGACCTCACATTTGGTAAGCTTTCACTCTTCCACGGGAAATAAGGAAATGCATTCATGCTATATAATTTCCATTTCAACAACAACATACTACAATGGCACAAATATAGAGAAGTAGGTGAGACATACTGCAAGAATATTAGCCCTTGTTAAGAAGGACGCTTTTCCTCTTTGGGGAATATATTTTGTTTTTAGAGGAAGAGAAAAGATGATGGTCTCATTTCTCTCACTACTTTCAACAATTGAGTCTGGCATTGCTTTTCTGGTATATTTGGGGATTAGTTGGGGTTTTGTAAATTATTTTTCCACTATATTATATAAACTTTTCTGAAATGCTGCTAAAAGGCAGGAATAATAACTGATAGTGAGTTCTACTAAAAAATGTCAGTGTTCACACTGTATCATTGGTCAATGGCAGTTTATTAGCATCCTACAATGGGTCTTGATTTCCTACACTGATGCTTTTAAGAGAGAAAAGCAGACAGAAATTCTGTATTTTCTGCCCCCAAATCACAAGCATTCTCCTCTGAAGCCTTTGATAGTTGTTATCAGACTCCTTTTGCTAAGAGCCCAAATTGGCCCATTATTAGTAAACTGCTCACCTACAATCAGAGATGATTGTAACTATTTGTTACCAAAACCAACCCTTATCACCCATTCTCTTGCAGCTGCTCAAGGTTTTATGTTTCTGGAAAGGAGAGTATGTACAGCGAGTTTGCTGAATTTTCATAACACTGCTTTCAATACAAGTGATTGATTGCATTTTTATTAGCAATCCAGAGGTACTCATCCAAGAGGGTTCAGTCAAAGACTCCAAAAAGTCTGAAAGCAACTGAAATCAGTAAGTTTAACTAATCCAGACTTGCCACAGAAGCATAATTATGGTCATGAAGATAAGATTAGACCATATTTATTTGGAAATGGACTCTTGACGCAATACAAGCTTTGTGAATCGGTGAAGAATGTGAGTTGTTATACCAAATAAGTTTGATAAAATCAATACTTAGTCTTTGCCTATATTTAGGGTCAAAAATAGGGAGCTCTGGTCATGGAGAAAGTTGTGCTCAACCCCAGGGCTGTTGGCTCTAATTCTTTAGCTGTTCCATGGGAGAAAAACAGGCAATCTCCTGTGTGATTTCCTGCATCTGGAAACCCAATGAAGGGTCAGCTATGAGTTAGTGCTGACTTGATGGTACACAGCAACAGCGCCAGAAATACAAAAATGAGGAATGCAGTCTGTTCTGACTCAATGGCATGGACAACGTAATAAGATTATATTATGTACA